GTACCACACAGTCACTTTTGTGGCATTCTGTTGATTAGAGGGTAGTCATGAGATGGACCCATATTCAGAGGAAATGGAAATAGACCCTGTTTTTCCATAGGAAGAGTGTCAAAGAATTTGTGGACATATTTCTAAATCATCTAACTCCTCCGTCAATGAGATAAGAAGCATTAGTTTGGAAGAAATTATCAAGTACGCTTTACCTCCATTCACCATCTCCCCTTCCAATTGGTTCCCCTTCCTCTGGCCTCTCTCTAGCCACCCTGTCATGGCCACCGAACTAATCTTCCAGTCTTCCTCTGATTGTTTTTCATTTTGTCACTCTCTCTTCAGTGTCCCTCCACCGTTTGCTAGAAAAAACCCCGGCTCCTTATACAGACATTCGAAACCCTTGCGTATCTGGCCTCAGCCTCCTTCCCTACTTCGTATCCTCAACCAGTGGAGAGAGGCTGAATTTAAGGAAGAGACCAGGTTGGGCTGGTTATTTTTACCTAAGTGAGTTACGGTGTGTGTTTCCTCATCTGTACTTTTGCTGTCAGGTTGCTCCCCAACACCCGAATTCTTCTCATGCTTCAAACCTCAGCCCAAGCCTGCCTCTTATAATAACAATAGTAGCCACCGTTTATTGAGTACCCACTGTCTGTTAGCAAGTTCACTAGAAGCTTTGCATTTATTTCCGTTAATTCTTACAACAACCTTGCAAGTTGCCACTTGCTCATTGAACAGATGAGGAAACTGAGGCAGAGAGATTTACTCTAGGCTACCCAGCTAGTATGAGGTTCATTCAAGATCCAAATCTGTCTGCCCTGAGTCTGAGCTCTTTCTACTGTGATGTCTACAAAACTCAATGCTGTCTCTACAAGGTAGAAAGTGATGAGCAGATACATCATAATGGAGAAGTCCTGGGTGGTTCAGAGGTGAGTGATCTCTCTCATCCTCTGGGAATTGAACTAATCAGGAACCTCCATGGTTCAATGAAATGGTGTCATGATAGTAATAAACAGACCTAGTCCAAATTGAAAGTTTCTGTTTGTCTTTAGCTGCATCAGGCTCAGGGCCAGCCTTACTTTTAGGACCTGTTATCATGATTTCCTTAAGTCTCCCAATTTCCAACTGGCAAGCAACTCCTTAAGGCCTGAGAGTGTTCAATAGGGGGAACAATGGGCTAAGAGTTAGGCAGCCTGGCTGTTTGTTCTACTTCAACAATTTTGAAATAAGGTTTTGTTGGGCTGGATAAAAAATGGCCCCAAATTCTCCCCTTTCCTGTATGCAGGGCCCTTTACAATGTGTCTTTGACGCCCTTCCCGTAACAAAGGAGGGCTCTTGACTATGGACTGGCCTTGTGAACTTGCTTTGACTAATAGAATGTGGAAGCAGTGATGTGATCGGGCTTCTGAAACTATGCCTTAAGGGGCCCTGCGCTTTCTGCTTCTCCCTCTCGTGACCCTGCTCCAAGACTGCCATGCTAGGAAGATGCGAGGGTGAAGGACCAAGCAGAGAGAGAGGCTGAGCCATCTCTGCCCTCCCAAAAGCCTAGGGCTGAACCCAGCCCCCAACTGAATGTTGCTGTGGGAGTAAGAACTGACCAGCCAACCAATAGAAGCTTGGGGAAAGGAAAGTTGTTATCAAGTCACTAGGTTTTGATGTGGTTGGTTAAATAGCAATAGCTAAGTCATACACATGGGTGAGACTCCACCGGGGAAAGGGAATTTGAAGACCCTTTAGAATATAGGTGTAGAAATAGGCTTTGCCTGTAGGAACTGAAAGGAATGGGAGGAGAGAGAAGCCTCATTATCTCCAGGAATTCATTAAGTTGGAAGAAAACAGGTACACGAAAGATGTTCAGACCAAGAGTAGTATTCAAATACTGAGTAAAATGAGAATCAGAGTATCATAAAATTTCAGGGCTAGAAGGACCTTCTGGAACCATGTGGTTCAGGGATGACAAAAAGATTTCTTCGTTTATCAACTCCAATTGATTAGTAGTGGCTGCCTGGAATGCTGTGTTGAGAATTCTGAGGTTTGTCTGTTTTCAACAGAAAAGAGGGCTGTGATCGATTAGCACTGTCTGCCGTGGGTGCAGGTCTTACTACAATTACTCTCTGTGCAAAGCTCTTTCCAGTCTCAGCACCTTTCCCCACGTTGCACAGTCTATTTGAAATGCTCCTCCACCCAATCAGTGTTTTTCTAGCTGGTCGTTCTTCAGGAATCACCTTTAATGTCCCTTCCTCAGAGAGGCCTTCCCTGCCTAAAGTAGAATCCCCTCCACTAATGTCTCTTCATTGCAAAGGTCATAATTTGTCATCATATATTTGTGTGTGTATTTATTTTTCATTAACCTTCCTCACCCCCTTCTCACACAACAGTCATAAAATGGCAACCTTCCCGAGGGCAGGGTCATATCAATTTTTTCTCAGCTGCTTACCCAACACCTAGCACAGTGCTGGGGCACAGTTGGTGCTCAGTATTAGTTGTTGAAATGATCATGAAGAGGTGACACAGATACCAAATTTGGACATGCTGAACCAATCCCGTTTTCTCCTCTAACATGGAGTCTTCAGGTCGTATTATTTGCTCACAGTCAGTCAAACTGCAAATGCTTAGTCCAGTTCTCCTCCCAAACCACCAGGTTTACCATGCACACTGATGTATTTTAGAGATTGTAAGCTCCAGGACAAAAGGGGCTGAGACTGTGCTGGCAGACAGAGATGGTGCTGGAGCAGCCAGGCAATTCAAACACATAATCTACTAATGAGGAAAAATAACGATCAGTTAAGTTTCCTTAAAGTTTGTTGCTTTAAGCTGATATTTGGTCATGCTGTGATATGCCATTGGGTGATACCAAGTTGTGGGCGTGTGAGGGGTATTCTGTCTTGGCCTTTGTTTCTGCCCCCATCAACACAAATGGAATGTTCAGGAGTTGAACTGATGCACGGTTGTAGCACTCTACATCCCAAGGAAGAACATTAAATGTAATAAGAAATTTTTATGGTCCTGAATATCTTTTAGACATTAATATTTTGAAAAGAAGATAAATTGAAGATGAAAAATAAGGACAGGTAAAGACATTTTGTCTCACTCTCAAAATTAGAAACAATAAAAAGAAATTAATTGACGTATGTCCAAAGCAATGATCCTATTTCATGTAGGAAACCTTCTGCGTTCACCCAGAATTTCCACAGAGAGCGGACACATTTCACTGTTTGCAAAGCCTTTCTTATTAGGAACTACCAGTGTTTCCCTGAGGTGAGTGGCCTGCTCATTGAGGTACAGAACGGGCTAAAGAAAGAGCACCCCTGAATGCACATTGAGCAAAAAAGAACATTTGGCAAATTTTGCGACAGCTGGATTGATAATGACCATTTGTGGGCTTTAAGTAGTGGCAGGACACATTACAATAATTTCAATATTTTCTCAGTTAAAACCTTTATTCTCTCTTTATGATAAGTGTCCTCTTTCCAACTCTACCCTCTAGGACAGGGATTGGCAAATTTTTCCGTAAAGGGCACAATTGTAAATATTTTATGCTTTATGGGCCACAAGATTTCTGTTGCAACCCTGCCACGGTGGGGTGAAAGCCGGCATAGACAGTATGTAGATGAATCAGTGTGGTAGTGTTCCGGGGAAACTTTATTTACAAAAACAGACAAACTGGATTTGGTCTGCAGGCTGTATTTGCCAACGCCTGCTCTAGAAGAATCGAGTCAGTGACTCTTTTTCTGCTCTGAAAGATGAAAACTCCAGTTGCTGATTTCCCAACATTGCTTCTTGCCTCCTAATATGCAATTAATATAAGCAGCAAAATATAGCCGAATTTCTATGATTTTAAAGTTGTTAAAACAAAAAGACTAAGTTCATTGTGCCTCTAAAATGAAGGAACAGTGTCTAATCTAAGAAACTGTTAAAAAATTAAAACGACGAGTAATTTCCAAATTCTGCTTCTGTGCGGCAGCCCTCCTGCATTTGAAATTTTCGAGTAGAATAGCTATTATTTCCCACTGATGAACCACAAATGGGCTGAAGTTATTTGCATACCTTTTTACACACAATATACACTAGTACTCTAACCTCTGATTCTTCTTACCAAATTCCATTTAATTTGTCATTAATTAGTAAATTGTTATGTGAAATGCTGCAAAGCATCTTGGGTGAAACAGCCAGCCTGAGGATTATTCTTTTGGAAGCTATCTGAAATTGTTACTACTGAGCAATTTCCATGAAAATAGAAGGGTCTTTGGAGCTGTTCTTTTAAAATAAGAATAAAATGAACCAAATAGGGGAGAACAAATAAAGGCAATAATAAATCAAGAACAAAAGACAGGAAACTGGTCCCCAAAAAAGTATCTAGGAAGAAACTATATTAGCTTATTTTTTCAAAGAGTAGATGCTTCTTTAACTTTAAAGATACAATAAAAACAAAACAAACTAAGAACAAGTCCAAAACTAAGCCTTCAAGGTCCAGTCTGTGTCTGCTTTAAGAATCTTCCCGTCTCTGAAAGCCTTTTTCTAAGGTGGAGGGTTGGGGGAATCTTGGTAGGGTATAGGCAAGTTCAAGTTCCTTCCTTCTTCCTGTTACACTCATCGTCTTATGTGTCTGCATCTCATTGCTTTGTTTACCTTCCTTCCTTCTTTCCTTTCTTTCTCTTGCTTTGCTTGCTTGCTTTCCTTTATTTCCATCTTCCCCCTTCTCTTCTTTCACTTGAAGCCCAGCTGAGTACGTCCTCTGGATAGACAGGGTTTTGCCTTCAAGCTGTTTCCAGTGTATAATTCCTCCTTACCGCCACCTCCACAACCAAGTCCAAATGAAAGCTGAGCCTCTTCGACCCTCTGCCCTCCCTTTCCTGCCTCCTCTTCTCCTGGGTTTCAATAGTTGATTGAACGGTGTGTTAGGTTCACTGAACTTGGTCTTGGCTTCAGTTCCACCCAGAGACAAAGTCCGTTTCCAGGCCAATTTCCATATGAAAGCAGCTGAGATCTCTTTCCCCATTCTGGAATTCCAGGCAGCACCCAGGGCTCTGACTTCTCAGACTCAAGAGTTTTTGCCCAACTTTCCCCCCTCATCCCAACTCACCCCTAATCTCCTCCCACTCCAGTTTCTCTGGCCACAGGATTTCCACTTCTCCCAGCACAGTGTTGTGGCCCTGAGAGAGCGTCTGTGAACTCAACTCCAGAACAACTCGCTTCACGTTTCTCTGAGGATGACGGTGTAAGAAAGGGATTTGTTTATTAGAGTTTGAGATGGGCAGTGGGAGGTCCCATGCAGGAGGGGGAGGGAGGGAAGAGTCAATGCTTATTCGGGTTGAGTCTAAGAAAATCGTAACTCCTATTGCCAACTGTTTAGGAACAAATATAACCCCATTAAACAATTTGTCTGATTGTCTGTATATCTGGTTTGGGGTCTGAGGCAAACTGCCGCCAAAATTTCTACTCTACTTCCAAGATGTGGTTTTGCCAAACTGGAAAATGACAAGAAAAAAGATGCTACTCATTTCCATTACATTTCTTGTGCAAGCAAATGGCCTGATTGGACCTTTAAAAATGCCATTAGCAGAAATAATATTCCCAAACCGAAAGGAACTCAGGAAATCTGTCCTTATTTGAAAGCCACGAAATGTGTGTGGGTTGACAAATGGGAAAACCACCCTGGGGTTCTCATTCACCTCAAATCAGAATGGTTTCAGAAGTTGCTGGTGGCTAAATCAGCCTTTATTTATTTACTGGCTTGTGTTAATATCGTGCCTTGGTGTTTCTGCTCTAAGGTCTGTCTGAGGTTAATACCTGGTCACATTTCAGTTATGTTCTTAACAATGCTTTGTTTCTTCCTTTTGTTGGGGAGGCAGGCGCAGTGATTTATAGACTTCTTGTGTTAGAGCAAACGCTGTAATTGTTTTCATTATATCTCCTAAAAAATGTCACTTCTATAGTGGGGTTCAATCGTCTGCAAGACTATAAATATGGCTATAATTTTGGCACCACAAGATTGTCTTAGAATCCCTGCCATGGATATGAGGAACTACATGTCTGCATGCGTGAAGGGAGTGTGTGTGAGTGTGTGTGTGTGTGCACATGCACATGTGCATCTGTGGGTTTGTATGAGTGTGCCCGTACAAATGAACAATGTGTATGTGTGCGTGTGGTATATTTTCAACCATGTGTGCACAAGGGTACTTATGTGTGTATGTGTGAGTGTGTGAGATGCATATGCACATGGGATATGCACATGGATGTGCACATGTCTGTGGACCTAAATTTGTATAAGTAAGTGGGTATGTGTATCAGGGAGTGGGTGAATTTGCAAATCAGGATGTGGAGCCCATCTAATGAGAACCCTAGCATCCTCCTAGCAGCCAAAAGCTTTCAAGACTCTTTGTTGTAGTCATGCACCGTATAACAATGTTTCAGTCAATGACAGACCACATATACCATGATGGCCCCATAAGATTGTGTGTAGTAGGCTAGGTTTGTGTAAGTACACTCTATGTTGTTCACATGACAATGAAATCCTCAGAATGTATCCCTGTTATTAAGTGATGCGTGACTGTAGTTGCATTCCCAGTGGGCTCCAGACCTCAGCCTCTGACTTGTGGCACAGTGTGCTCTCCCGAAAGGAGAAGTTATTGAAATGCAGAATGTCTGCTGTTGCCAGCCCAAACTCTACTAAGTTGTGTTGGCCAAGTCCCCGAAAAACAGCCTGGACATCACTGGAGATACAGGCTCTAAGCAAAAACATATGTGCCTCTGCCCTCGGATCACTGGCCTGTATGGAAATGGATCTATCTCTGTGGAACAGAAGGAGGAAAAACTGCATCCCTCCCACTGCTTGCAGGGAGGGTGCCTGGTATTGTTTATTATGCTGACCAGGTACCTTCCTTATGGATTCTAATAAACTAATCTGCCCTTGCTTTATCTCACACACCCTTTATTGTTCTGCATCTGGCCTTGGTAATGAATTCATACATACACGGGTGATAATAAGGAAGGAGAGTTTAAGTATTTTGACAGTGTTAGTATTGATCGTAGAATAGATTAAGAGACAGCCAGGAGGAATTTCTTCACGGGATCAAATTCTCTCCCCCCCCCCCCCCCCCCCCGACCAGACAGCTGGCAGCAGTGGACACCAACATTTGTCAATGCAACCATTTCAACTCTTGAGCAAAAGCCTCCCATCTCAGAAATTGTGCATCTAACAAATCACTGCATTTTGTTCTTAAATTTATCCTGTGGCAACATTTTGGCAGGATTGTTGGACTGTGGGATAAGGAGATGAAGAATTTTCAAGAAAGGATTTCCCACCCCCAGCTGCTGCACACTCTACGGCATCGTGCGGGGAGAGGTGGTGATGATTGATCACGTCCAGGTCCCAAGAACCCCTTCTCCCCTCCCCCTCTCCTCTCCAGACCCTCCCTTTCCATAGGTTTCTACGACAGGGAGAATGATTTACTGACTAGTTGGGGATAACAGATATTGGTCTTAGGTCCAATCTAGTTTAGTATCTTTTAAATAAACAGGTCTGGCCTTGCCTTGGGCCCCAACACCATTGCCTTTTTCATGGCCTTTATCCTGACAGTTTGTCTTGGCTCCCAGATCTTGTTTGCTTGGTCCCTGACCCCTTGACTTACTCTGCGGCCACACCCAGAGTCAGACTCTGCTGACTCAGTTCCTGGACCTGCGTCCTCAGCGCTGACCTCCGGCTTCCCTTCCTGACTGCATTCTTGCTTGCCTTTCTGGTAATTCTGTTTTGGGGCTCTCTGCGGAAGCACTCTGCATGGTCCCACCCAGCATCCCTGCTGGGTTCTCATTAGTTCCATGCATGGAACCCCAACTCCTGGTCAGCTCCAGCTGTGCTCTGAGAATTACTATAGGAATGAGGTTTAGTAGGAAATAAAGAGGGAGAGGATTGTGGCTTATTGAGCGTCTATATCATCCCAAGCTCTGTGTGAATGAGCTTTAGATATGTTACCTAACACTCACAGTGAGATGCATGTTATGGCCCCCAATTAACCTTTGCAAAAGCAGAATCTAAGAAAATTGAAATAACTTCCCCAAGGTCACTCAGCATAGCTAATGAATGGAAGAACCAAAGTTTAATCCCACATTTAGCTTTTTTCTTTTATCTGTCTGATAATCCTTAACCTAATCACTACAGTTGTTGCTGAGCTTGTATATCTATCTGCCAGGCTCTGTGCCAAACAGATTGTCTATATTGTCTTTTCACACTTAAAACAATTCAGATATAATTCACATGCCATAAAATTTACCCTTTAAAAGTGTACAATTCAGGGCCAGTCTGGTGGCACAGCGGTTAAGTGCACACGTTCCACTTCAGCTGCCTGGGGCTTGTCGGTTCGGATCCTGGGTGTGGACATGGCACTGCTGGTCAAGCCATACTGAGGTAGGCGTCCCACATATAATGTAGAGGAAGATGGGCATGGATGTTAGCTCAGGGCCAGTCTTCCTCAGCAAAAAGAGGAGGATTGGCAGCAGATGTTAGCTCAGGGCTAATCTTCCTAAAAAAAAACCACGTAAAATTCAGTGTTTTTTTGATATGTTCACAGGGTTGTGCAACCATCACAACTCTATGATTCCACAACATTTTCATCTCCCCAAAAAGAAACCCCGTATCCATTAGTAGTCATCCCCCTTTCCTCCATCTCCCTAGCCTCTGACATCTACTAATCTATTTTTTGTCTCTATGGATTTACTGATTTTGAATGTTTCACATAAATGGAATCATGTAATATGTAGCCTTTGCATCTGGCTTCTTTCACTAGCATAGTGTTTCCAAGGTTCATCCATGTATGTCTCAGTAGCACGTATCAGTACTTCATTCTTTTTTATGGCTGAATAATATTCCACTGCATGAATGTACCACATTTTATTTTTTTTGAGATAACTTTCACAATTATCTTATGAGGTAGGTGCAATTCTCATCTTTGTAGGTAAATTGAGATGTAGAAAGATTAAATGACTTGCTTTAGATCATGTTCTAGGAATGGTCTGCAAAATACAATCATTTTATGCTTGTATTTTCAGTTTAAATGGCTTATTGTCCACCCCAAGCAGATGATGGACCAGGGTTGTAACCATAATATAACGTGGATACAGGGCGCATGCATCTCCCAGTGGGATTTCACACAGGCTGTCCCCACCCAGAGCCCTCCCTAGTCTCTGTTTCAGGATTCCACTCTCCTCTCTCCCTTTAGGAGGCCCGAGCCCTGCAGTTCGGAGGAGGCCCCCTTGGACTCTGCAGTTTTGCAGCTGACCCGGGACTACTGTCTGGCAGGGGAGGGCAAAGGAAGAGAAGAAGCACTTTTCTGATGGGACATTCGATGATGCTTCTTAGTGGGCGTGGCGCTTCCATTCAAGTCCCCCATCTCAGTCAGAGCTGGGGACTTGCAGTTTGTCCTTGCCTGACAGGGATTCGAAGGGCCAAATTGTTTCTAGAGAATAAAACGGTAAGAACTAAAGAACAGATGATACATTAAAACAGTAAGTAAACAACTTTTTTATCAACAAAATTCTATTTCATGTCAACCTCCAACCCCTCTAGTCTGTCTTTCTGGTAGTACAATACTAATGAACTGTCCATTACAGAGCCTGTACAAGGAGGCATAGTTCCTGCCCTCAAGGGGCTTACACCCAGAGTGGGAGCTAGAATGTGCACAGGAACTCTCTGACCATACCAGGCTCTGCACACTCGGCTGTGCACTGGCATTGCCATCCACATGCTGGATGTGCTGGAGCAGCCAGAGGAAGGGAAGACCACATGGGTTGGAGCAGGCTGGGAAGGCTCCCTGTTTTGAAGGTGGAGAATATGAGACTGAGGGAGGCGGGGGTTGAGGTCATCAAGGAGGGCTGGAACTTAGTCAAATATCCAGCGGAGGAGAGTAGGGGAGAAAACAGCCCAGGGAGCGGCACAGGGCTAGGTATGAGCCGGATGTGGTTGGAGAAGGATGAGTAAACCTCTCTGGCCAGAGTTGAAAGGATCTTGGAAGGGAGCTGATGAGGGAGGCAGGAGTGAGATGTGGTAAGACAAAGAATTTGGATTTTACTTGGTAAGCAAACAAAACTTAGGGCGGAGGAACTGCGTCAGGGTCAAGCCGAGCTTGCTACAGTCCTCTGGCAGGACAGGAAGTGTCAAGTGACTCGAGAAAAGCTTTCCAACTTTATTGCTCCCTGAGAAATAATGGCAGAGGTACGGGGCTTGGACCCACTGGGAAGGCTTGTCTAGAGTGGTGTGTTCACAGGCAGCTGGAGGCTCGTAAGAGCAAAATGCAGACAACAAGCAAGCAGCTAAGGCGCTGACCTCATGTGGCTGGCGCAGCCACCGGCCAGAGCAAAACCAGAGCAAGCTCCCCAAATGTGCCTGGGACAGTCGGACATCACTACTTTGAACTGCCCAGTTTGGTGGCCAAGGTGAGGATGTGGGCTGAAGAACAGAGAATGAGAAACTGGGCTCTCATCTGGGACTACACCTGAGTTTAAGACATGTGTCAATAATTCAGCTCAAAATCTGGATGATTCTGAAGGTCTAGTTTTAAAACATAAATGAGAAACTTTTCATTCTGATGATAGCTATCATTTGTTAGACTTTTATGTTCAGGGTCTGAGATATATATATGTACGTGTGCATGTGTGTGTGTATATATATATATATATATGTATATAGGTTTTAATGCTCATGATTTTATGCATAAGGGAACTGCTCAGAGAGATTGAGTGACTGGCCCAGTGTCACACAGCAAGCAAAAGGCAAGGCTACAGTTCAGCCGTTGTGCTGCTGGCATCAAAGCCCACACTTACTTACTCACCCATGTTACGTCCATAGAGGTTTCCAGACATTCTGTTGACAGAGGCATCTGTGTATATTTTCATCCCAGTCATGATGACTTTTGACTTCTACATACATACATGAGGAAAACAACACCAGTCTTGGTTGTGATTTTGCTCTGGCTGAAAATGTAGGTGCTGAACACAAAGCCAGATTCAGAACTCTGGAAGATTGATGTCTCTTCTCAGGGCTTTAAACAGTAGTTAGTAGTTCAATAAATGCTCTCCATTCATATCCAGGAATTTTATGCCACAACCACGTGGCTGAATTTTTCTGCAACTGCTCATCTATCTAGTGCTAGTATTTATCTCTCTATTTAAGAAGTTACTTTTTCTGTAGGAAGATTTCATCATCTAAACAGAAATAGACATCATCATTTTGCAACTTTTTGTGCATCCTGGCCTCTTTGTTCACAACATGTATTGGGGGAGTAGAAACATGCGTGTACTCATGTGCTTGTATATGTGCACGTGCACACACACTCTCAACCTTCGTTATTAGAAGAGAACGAGCTGGTTGGGGAATGGGAAGTGGTCTGGCACAGGAAAATCTCTTGCAGGTCTGGTGAGATCCATGAGGAGGCTGTGCTGCAGGGGTCTGTGCTGGAGGGGTGGGGTCCGAGGGTGGGGGTGGGGTCCCAGGGTGGAGGGGGGCTCCTGCCTGACCTTTCCACCCGGGATTCTGGCACCAGCATTGACATTCCAAGCATCCGTTCTGAGGGCACTGCTTGGGGTACGAGGCTGCTCACATCCAGCCAGGAAATTTCATCCATATGTTTCTGATTCATTTACACTCATAAAAATGTGATTTTCAAGAGCGATGTGACACGCAATAAGCTTTCTGGGCCCTCTCTCCTGCTCTGTCTCTGCTCGCAGGAGCGGACAGATCCATTTTGCCAAGAGAAAATGAATTCAGACTGCAGGATCCTCGACCCCAGAGGCAGAAACGCCAGCGAGGCTCACACAGATGGTCCCCTGCCAGCGTACGGCGACTCCCAACAATACACCATCAAGCTGAAATTGTGCCCAAAATTTGCCTTCTGCCCTTCCCAAGGGAGCGCTGGTTCAATAACCCAATGATAATGATGGCTTTTTTCCTTGCTATTTTTATTTTCTCTATTTCTCATCCTTTCATTTGCTCTCATTACCCTGGCAGCATTGATTCCCCTGCTCTGCTTACCGCCCAAAATATTTGCAGCTTCTGGTGTATCTTTGTTCCTTCAGATCGGTTCATCATGAGCCAATCCATTCACTCTCTTTGTTTTTTGTTTTTATTAACTGAGATATTGCAAATTGCCTGAAAATAATGGAACTCTATTTCATTCTCAAATCCGTACAGACTTTTAGGCCATTTGGCTCAAGAACTGTGTCTCTTGGCCTCTAACAAGTTTACTTAGTTTTGTCATCATTCTATTTCCAGTCTATTCTTGTCTGTTCTGTTTTACTGGCCAGCCCTGTTTGTTTTTCCTCTTTGCTGCTCCTGGATATGGTGGGCGAGGTCTACTCCTGTTATGGCATCATTTCCAAGTGATGGAAAAAAACTAAACAACGCTGCTCCAGATTAGGGGAAGGCTAGGAGCTTTGGGAACCCACAGACTGGTAAATCCATCCTGACCCTACTGCTTCCTAGTTGTGTGACCTCGGGCCTCAGTTTCCTCCTCTGCATAGTGAGGAAGATAAAATCCATCTCACAGAGTAGCTGTAAGGATTTAATAAGGCCATGTCCTGTTTGTCCCTTTATCCACATCACCTGGTACAGTGCCTGGCATATAGGGAGGGCCAATTCATTTTAATGTCAGTGTCCTTCAACCGAAGGCCACCCGGAGCAAACCTGCAGTTAAGGAGAATGGCTTTATCACTCACTGTATTGAGGGAGAGCACAGACCCAGGGGAACCAGAGAGCAGCTCAGTAAGAGGGTCTTTGAAAGAACCTATGATAGGAGCTGGGGTTTAGTTGAGTGATTTGGAGGAAAGTCTAAGGAAGTAAGGGTTTGATGCTGTCAGAAAGTGGGAGTAGCTCTGTACTTGGGTATCTTAATAAATCTGATCTCTCAGGAGAGGAGGCCAGAATGAGGATAGCACTGTACCTGGTAAAGAAAGAAGCGGTCACTCATTCTGGCCCAGAGATGGGGGTATTCAGTGTGTTGTGCATGGCACAGTGACCTTGGTTTTGTCCTTGTTTAGACACAATTATGATGTGGCCTTGCTTTGTCTCATTTTCTTGTGATCTCAGAGAATCCTTGTCTGAGGTTGGTATTCTGTGAGTTATCTCTAGTAGGAGAATAGCAGTGTTTACATGTGAGTGCCAGGTCAAGTTCTAAATGTGAGAGGCTGCCCCTTTTTCTTTCTTACTAGCTTTCTCTCTTTCTCTCTTGGAGGGACCGTAGGCTAGCCAGTGTTTCTGTAAGAAAGTCGAGTTAGGGATGAGCAGCCCACATGTCCTGCTATAACGTGCAGCCAAGTCTGTGAGAAAGTGACTACTTTGATTGGCGAGCAGTTCAGGCAGAGCAGGGGAGAGCAACTGGGGAGGGGTTGACTATTATCTGAATTCTTGCCCTGGATAAGTGGGGAATTAGGGGTCCCAGGAGCTACTCTGGGCATACAAGGAAGCAGGACATCCCCAGAGGCTGCAGAGCATGGAGCAATCTGATCTGGTGGCTGGGGGCAAAGCTGAACACAGTGTGCACAGAATGGATCTAAGCTAAGTGGAGAGGCCAAGCACGATGTAAGAACAGGAACAGGTGATCAGAGAAGTAGTGAGATGAAATAAGAGGCTCAGGTAGTAGACCTTGGAAAAGCTTCATAAAGTACTAGAGTGGAGAGGCAAAGGGTTTATTAGATGTCGTGGTCCTCACCTACTCACGGGTGGAACTCTTGAAGATGCTGGACCAGTTGGCATAAATATGACATATTAGAACTGTCGGGGAAAACATTTGCTTGAAAGTTGGGAAGGTAAAGAGTCACCAGATTATTGATATTCTTAAATGTAGTCTCCCTGTCCTCCACTTCACACAATTATTTGTTAGAGTTGATGAATTATGATGGTTAGGCTTCTGGGTGGCTATATTAGTGTTGCTGAAAGATTGGTATTGCCTAGAAATCTTTCCTACCCTGAATCACAAAGATGACCCGCCTCCAACTTTAGGCATCCTAGAGCCCACTAGCAAACTGCTATAGAGTGAAAGTTTATGTCTCCCCCGATTCATCTGTTGAAACTTGATCCCCAATGTGATGGTATTAGGAGGTGGGGCCTTTGGGAGGTGATTAGATTATGAGGGTGGAGCCCTCATGAATGGAATTAGTACCTTTATAAAAGAGACCCCACAGATCTCACTTGCCCCTTCCACCATGTGAGGCCACAGAGAGAAGATGAGAAGATGACCATCAGTGAACTAGGAAGCAGGTCTCCATCTAACACTGAATCTATTGGTGCCTTGATCTTGGACTTCCCAGACTTCAGAGCTGTGAGAAATAAATTTCTGTGGTTTATAAGCCACCCAGTCTATGGTATTTTGTTATATCAGCCTGAATAAACTCAGAAACAAACCTATTGTGTTTGCAAAGGATAGAGCTCTTTCTTCTCCACCTGTCTCATAATTTAACCCCTGGCTGGTATGTCTGAAAT